AATATCTTTTTAACTTTGATATAAATAAATATAAAATTACAAAATTATTAATTTCTCTCATATCATCTCTATCAAATGCAAATGCACAACATCAATCTTTAACCATGCTAATGCCAATCAATATCTATTACTGTTGAAGCGTGGGATCGAGCTCCATATCCACATCAATACATATTTCGGTTGAAAAGAACTTCAACTTGGTGTATAAGCAGGCAACCCCTACATAAAATTTTTATAAACAAAATTACTAGACTATTTCATCAATTCTGAGATAATTCAAGGTAAAAATGCAGGGAACTTGATATGCATACTGCTTGGCAGCATGTTGTCGCAAAATGATATCAAGCACTCACAATGCTTCCTGTGTGTTTTCAGTCTCTTGGTCAGCGGCCCAACGCAATGCATTGCAATGGGATTTTAGCTGCAAAGCTAAGCTCAACTTTGATAGTCTTTGTATTATATGAGTGCCTTGCACGCTTATGCTCACTAGGGGTGTCAATTTCGTGTCATGGGTCGGGTTCGGGTTAAACCTGAACTGACTCGGGTTCAAACGGGTCGACTATAACCCGACCCGGGTAGACTTAAAATATTAATGTTTATAAAATAATAACATCTATTTAACATCAAAATCTCTTTTTAACTTTGATATAAATAAATATAAAAATACAAAATTATTAATTTCTCTAATATCATCTCTATCAAATGCAAATGCACAACATCAATTTTTAACTATGCTAATGTCAATCAATATCTATTACTGTTGAAGTGTGGGATCTAGCTCCATATCCACATCAATACATATTTCGGTTGAAAAGAACTTCAACTTGGCGTATAAGCAGGCAACCCCTACATAAAAATTTTATAAACAAAATTACCAGGCTATTTAAGCAATTCTGAGATAATTCAAGGTAAAAATGCAGGGAACTTGATATGCATACTGCTTGGCAGCTTGTTGTCGCAAAATGATATCAAGCACTCACGATGCTTCCTGTGTGTTTTCAATCTCTTGGCCAACGGCCCAGTGCAATGCATTGCAATGGGATTTTAGCTGCAAAGCTAAGCTCAACTTTGATGGTCTTTGTATTATAGGAGCGCCTTGCACACTTATGCTATTCAGTAGGACTATCATTTCCACCATGATTGCCATTTCTGTACGATCAAATGTTGACAGAAAAAAATAGACAGGAGAAGCATACCATTTATTTAAATGCAAAAGGCATGACATGGGAAAACACACAATTAGTAAGATGAAACATCATAAATAAATTTACCTCTTCGAATGCGTATGATCAAGTAGGACAGTTAACTCATTGTTGACTTGGGGAAGAGGGACAATTGTGAACAAAGTCTTTTCGCCATCATAAGCTCTCCAAGGCTGTATAAATCCTTGATAATGCAATATAATTATATATAAGAACCGTTTAACAACAATACAATGCCTTGTAGTGTACTTGGAAGTCAAAAAAACCCTCAAAATTATATTTTGGATTTATTTTTATTAAACCAATTACGAATACTTTCAAAAACCCTACATTTGAAATAATTCATATTCAAAGCCCTTCAAATCAAATAAACCCTTAAGAAAATTTTAAACTCGCCATACTTTTCACTTATGTTAAAATCCAAATTAGTTTGAACCAGACGTATAAAGGATATACCATGTTACCTTTGCTCGCACGCTTGTCTTTACACAACTACATATTCGCACACCTTGTTTGTGTCTCATAACTTTAAGATGCCTTTACCACAACCCCAACATCTTCTGCCTTCTCCATATTTTTATTTTTATATACAATAAAAAGAGATTGATCAACATAGCTCACATTGATCTATTGGTTGAGAGTTTTGATTACCAACTAAGAGATCTTATATTCGAAACTTGCTTATATAATATATGTATAAATAAGTCTTAATTGACTTTAATATCCTAAAAAGAAAAAAAAATTTAGACCAAGATTTCTTTTATGTACCCTACCATCCTCTTCTTCCTGATTCATTAATCTATACGGAGTCGGAGGATATCTGAAGACCAATAAAATTGCGCCACATCACCTCATTGCTGTGTACCCAATTCAGTACCCGCACTCAATACCCTTCGATACTGTAGAATATCCGATACTTAACGGGATGATTCTCCAATCCGATATACACACAAAATAATGACTCCCTCCTCCATTCACTTATTATTTCTATAGATCTCGAATCCCATTTCTATGTAGACTAATTTGACCAATTATTTTCATTGGATTGGCATGTAAAGTCACCTGATCATTTGGCCACAATGACTCCCGGCGATTATTAAAAGCCAAATGTCGCCACCGGACCCCACAAAAATTTATAGTTCTGAACCCACGGGCCAACCTTTGTTCTCCTGGGTCCCCGCCACTAATAAATACTGGCCAGTGCTGGCGTGGATATCCATTTCCACTCATCGTTTCTTGTGCAACGTTGCACTGATATCCACGTGGCAAGCGGTGAAGACGCTGTGGGTAATTTTCTGTTTTGGTTTAATTTTTGTTCCGTACGAGACATTAAAAGCTTTCATTCATATTCGCTTTTTTTTTTTTGGGGAAATTTTGGGGCATAAAGCCCATCTCATTGCTAAAGAGGTTACAAGTAAGAAAAGTAATCAAAACTATAATCCAAAAATCTCAAATAACAAAAAGAGATTTAGGATTCTAAATAAGGAAAATACAATTCTGTAATGAAACAAAAACAGAAGGGCAAAGCCCATGGACTCAGAAAAGCTCAAAAACTCGAAGGGTCAAATGCACGATTGGGTCAAAAATTTTGAGCGTAGCCCCTGGTTGCCCAAGGGCCGTCCAAGGAGCAGCTGAAACAGGTTCAGCATTCATCATCGTCCAGCAAAAATTATCCCTCAGCCACCAGCAACTAACGGAATGATAAGCACCATCTGAAACATGCGAAACCACCAACCAGGCAAAGGCAGGGAAGACAAAAAGGAGGTGTCCAGAGACACAAATAATCCCAGAACCAGTTCCAAATGATTTTACTTTGTCCATCTCAGATTTTTTAATAGCACAGCTTTCTTGATTTTGGCTATAATAGTGTCTTTGCTGTCAATAGTACCACCAAACAATCTATCATTTCTAGCCCTCCAAATAAAATAAACTGAGGCAGCAGCCATGAGAAGGTAATGATTCTTAGTCTTAGCAATAAAACCTTGCTCGCAAATGCTACCAAAGACCTGGTGGAAATTTGGTCTCATAAAAAGATTATGCAACCAGGGGAAGAGAGTTCTAACAATTTAAAAACTGTAGCTGCATTCATAAAATAAGTGGGTAATAGTCTCCCTGTCATTGAAACAGAAACAGCAGGTATTAGGAACCAAGATACCCCGAACAGCAAGGACATCAGCAGTTTTTAAGCCCCCATTAAACATCATCCAAGCGTAGACCGAGAAACGAAGGGCATTATGTTTATGCCAGATGTAATTATGCCAAGGGACCACGCTCCAGTTGTCATAAAACTGAGAATTGAAATCCAAAAAGGATGGATTATGTTTATTTTCCCAGAGGTGGTTCTCAGTATGAGTATCAATAGGGACAGAATGGATGATAGCAGCCAGTTGGTTGCTCAAGCAGCTAGGAAGATTCCAATTATCAGTTAAAATAAACTGGGAGACAGTGCAGTCAGAGGAAGAAATAAAACTGGAATTGATATTCAAGCTCCTCATATGGTCTGCCACCGAAAAACCCCTACACCAAGGATCCCAAAAGAAAGAAAGTTTGCTTGAGGAGTTAACAGAAAGAGCAAGTCTGCTTTTGATCTCATTAGCTTTAGCACATAAATAAGTCCAATAGTAAGAGTTACTTTTGACCTGAGGCTTCCAAAGAGATTGATAGTTAGCTCTCCACCAAGAGAAGAGAAGGGAATCAGCATTTAAAAATCTCCAAATGATAGAGCAAGCATAGCTGTGCTTGAGGGAATTAATAGATGGAATACCCAGCCCCCCATGAAAAAATTAAGGAGAGTCAGCAGAGTTACCTTATATGATTTGGGCTTCATTTAAGATGATTTTATTTTTGTTTCTAAAAAAATATTTTTATATAAAAACTAAATTAAATTAACAATAATATCTAAAATTTTGAAATAAAAAAAATTAAATGATTTGATTTTGATATGTTTTTATTGATCTTTATTTTTAATTAGTTTTATTCATGATTTTGGATGAAAAAAAAGAGTGGGAAGCATTAAGAAAATAGTGTTTATTTTTCCAACTAACCCCCTTACAATCTCTTTATTTCATATTTAAATTAAATTTTCAAATAATTAATTACATAAATTATTGATTTTTTTAAGACAAATATAATTAAGGATTACTCTCCTAAATGAACTTTTATTTGGTTCGGTTGACCGAATGCAAGAAGCATTCGGTCGTAGGCAAAAAAAATGCGGTACTGAGGTTTACCGAATTTTTTAAAAAACTCAGTACATCTCGGTACCGAATTTTTTTTGCCTACGACCAAGCATCCAGTCGGAGGAGGACGTAATAATTGTTCCTCCTAAATACCTGTAGATACTGGCGAGTGAAAAAAAGTCAATAAAAAAAATACTGGACAAACATTCTAAGGGAGACTTCCTTTACAAGAAAAGATTGATTGGAGAATAAAAATAGCAGGAGAGAAGAAAGAGAAGGCGGCCTTAGAAGTCGCCCGTGGACGGCGACGTCGGCGACTGTATGATGACTTTTCAAGCGGCGGCGCCGCCTCGAAATATTGCCGGCGATGGAGACTACCTCGCTTTCAACCTTAGAACAGTAAAAAGTGCGCGTTCTACTGGCTATTTTATAAATGAAAAATAATAGTAATAGAGAAACAAGTGTCTTCCAATAGTCCAAAGGAGATGCCATGGGCTTTGGCTTTTACCTCTGTACATCCCGACGAAGCACTCCGAGCTGTCACACTAAAGCAAAAGAAGATTCCCCTACCTTCCTCCTCCATTTCCCCGCCCCAAAACCCTAGATCTGAAATTGCCCGCATCAAGATCATCCCGGCGATGCGGTTGTTTTGGTGATCGTTCTACGCGGGTTTTTGGTTTCCGGGCCATTAAAATCGTTTACGTTTCTGGCTTGTCCGATGGGCTGTAGTAGTTCTAAGCTCGAGGAGCTGGAGGCGCTCGCTCTCTGCCGCAAGAGATGCGATCTACTTGCTCAAGCCATAAGGCATCGCTATGCGCTTGCAGATGCACACGCAGCTTACGCAGATTCTCTCCGATCAGTCGGTATTGCCTTGCATCGAGTTCTTGATGGTGGCCATGGAGCGAATCCGGATAGCTCTCCTGTTCTCACTCTTCCGGGTCATCGTAAGGGGGATTCTGTACCTGCGTCCTCGTTATCATCGGCGCCGGCGGTGATGTCTACGCCAGCGGTTGCGAATTCTACCGTGCGCTCTCATTCTCGATCTCACTCTGGATCTCATATTCATTTCCACTCCGACGACTCCGATTCCGACGACATCTCTCCGCTGCACTCTGAAGATGATTCTTCGGGTCATTTCCATCCCGAACACCATGAGACACCAGGCGGCGGCGGCCCCACCTTAGTCAATCTGCACTACGCGAAGAGTAATCCTCCTCCTTCCTCTATTTCAATTGAGCAGCGGGTGGGAAGCCCTGAGCAAGTTCAATACGGCTCGGTCTCTGAACCACCCTCCTCCTCCTCCTCTTACCCTTATGGCTACGCTTATCCGACGCAGAACCCCAATTCGCATCCTTATCCCTTGCCGTACGCCTACCAGCATAATTACTATGGTTTGTTTGACTCTTCATCTCCTCCACGTGCGATATCTCAGCCTATTACTGCTGGCGCGGGAGCGAACTCCAAAGCATCCACTTCTCGGGCGGCGGCTCCGCCTCCTCCTTCCCCTCCCAGGACGTCGACCTGGGACTACCTTTTCGGGGCTTTTGATAACTATTATCAACCTTACAGTCCCAGTAGGAGCTCAAAAGAGGTGAGGGAAGACGAAGGGATCCCTGATCTTGAAGAGGATGACCAGGAAGTCATAAAGGAAGCCTATGGAGACCAAAAGTTTGTACCTTCCACATCTGTCGGGGCTGTACCGGAGAATTCGAATAAATCTGCCTCGGTTGAAAAGGACGATGTTGTTGGAAATGCTGTGGACAGTTCGAGCTACCATCCCAAGCCGAAGGATGAGGATTTTTTTGTTGAGAAGAATGTTGTTAGTGATGAATTGCAGAGACCCCAAGAGATTCGGAGGAGTGTTGTGGTTCCTCGAAGATATCATAACGTATCTGAGGTTGCAAGTGACATTAGAGCCCAGTTTGAAGGCGCAGCTGAATCGACCAAGGAACTTGCTAAGATGCTAGAGGTGGGAAAGCATCCTTATAGCAGCAAAGGCTGTGCTTCTGCAGGTGAATGAACGCTGCATTTTCTGTTGTCATTATCTTCTTTTTTAAGTAAGAATATCTTTGCTTTTGTTCATCGTTTATTTTTCATTGTTTATTGTTGATTTTCCATTGTTCTATAATCCGGGAAACAGTATCTTCGAGAATGTTGTGCGTGATTCCTGTCTCTATATCGAAGGATGAAGATTTAGTCTATGTAGAGGATAAAGCAATGAGCACTGGGAATCTTTCTTCAACGTTGCAGAAGCTGTACGTTTGGGAACAGAAGCTTCTTGATGAAGTCAGAGTATGTGTGCCTGTCTTTCTATTTTGATGTCCATCAATTGCTGACGTGAATTGTTATGGTTTTCTTATTCTTGTGTGAATCCTTTCTTTCCCTTTGAAGTTTGGGTGCAATGTTGTGTTTAGGATTTTCTACTTTCATGGTTTTCATAACGGAACATCCTTGGAAAGTTTGCTCACACTTGAAAAGTAGAAAATTCCTTCAAGATTCAAATTTCCCTTTCTCTCCACTACCCCATATGTCTAATATCTTTCTATCTCTTAAGCATAGATAAGTGTGCAATTCCATTCCTCACACTCACGGGCGTGTTGCAAACTTCGCATGATACATATTTGAATCATTATTGCATCATTTATGTAATATTTAAATAAATTTAATATTTATTAAATCTTGTGGTTTAAACCCTATGTTGAATTTTAGTTGAACTTGAACCTTGAGCCTTACCTACTTCTGGTGTAATGTCTGGTCCAATTTTTGGAACTTTGTTGTGCTAGGCTCTTCTAATGGAGTATATTCCCGAATAAAGGATTTTTGATGTAAATCTAACAAGCAATGAAGATTTTCATCTGATGCAATAAGCAAGCAATTTTTACAAAGCAATAAAGATTTACCACTGATGCAATAAACATGCAATTTTTACTGGAAAATAAACTAGCTATTTATTATTTTTTATGGAAATTGAAAATAATTAAAATATAACTATAGTGAAATTTATTTAGTTTGTAATAGAATTTGATGAAAAGAAATTACAGATCATGAAAACCCAAAAAATGATTGAAAATTTCTGACATAGAAAGGGCATCAAATTTTAATTGACCTAATTTTTTTTTTTCATAATTTCAAATAATAATAGTTAAAGAAGAGAAAAGAGAGAAAAAGAGAAGAAAAGGGGGAAACAAGTGAAATGATAAGTAAACCTAACTCTTAAACAAGAAGTTTGTCTCTTTTGGAATGCTTCAACTCTTACACATAATCAAGGATATGGAAGAAGAGTAATAATTTACATATCCAATTTTTTTATTTAAGCCATGTAATTGTTCTTTTACATGGATAAAACCTTTTTATGTTCCTTATGCAGCATTTACTATGAAACGAAGCAACTAGGGATGTGCATTTGGTTGGTATAGTTCATATATATTAGCTAAACCAATTGGGTTCAGTTGTAAAATTCAGAAAATCAAATCAACCATATCTTTTTTTTTTTTAAAACTGAATTGAATTGTACTAAACTTTAATTTCTTTAGTTCAGTTTGGTTCCAAATAAACCCAAATGTAATTCACTTTAGTCTTGAACCTAATCAACTTTAACCTAAATGGCATGTATTAAGAAAAATTCTGAGTAATCTTTGTATACGTTTATAATTTCAATATGTATGTTAAATATTATCCACATTAAAAACAAACCTCTATGCAGGTAGGCACATGAACTCTTGTTTGAAATCATACAGCTAGAAGCTTCAACTATGATTCTGATATGGCGGTTTCTGTGGAACCGCCTATTGAGGCGGTTCCGGTTCAGAGGGAACCGCCTCAACCGGCCCAACAATTGTTTACAAGAGGCGGTTCAAAACCGCCTCCCTCCCTACCTAATTTGGGTTGCTGCCTATATGTGGGGCCCAAGGGATTTAAATTTATTTGAAAATTATATTTTAGGAAAGGGCTTGGGCTATGGAGAGCTTTTAAATAGGAGAGGTAAGGGGAAGGGAAATGCATGCTTAGATTTGAGTTTCTCTTGGAGTCTCTTGGAGTTTGAGGGCTCTAGACTTTACGTCTAGAGATTGGGAGAGAATGATCCTCCTCTCGAATAGAGAATCACTTGTATCTTGCTTTCTTGTTGGTTTGCTTGCTTCGTTTATTGCTATTTTATTGTGTTGGGGCTGATTACGCCCAAATTTTTGCTCTATTCTCGTTGTTTTCTCTCCAATTGGCGATATGATTGCTTGCAAACTCAAGTATTTCTTAGGGTTACTTGCGAACTCAAGTATTTCCTATTAGATTCTTATTTATCTACAACATTTTTTTCCCTTCATTTTCATGTTATCAATTATGCTTGACAAGCATGTGCTAATTCATTTTTATATGAGGCCTTTAGGTTAGGTTTGGTTGGGTTGGATTAAGACTTAAGATAAATAACATAATTCTTGAGCCAATCTTTTTTCAATTGATTTTATTCGTGATCTTTTTTTGTCACTTATTTATTTATAGTTTTTGGATTTTGTTGATTTAATACTTGAAGAAACTAGTATAACTTTTTTTTAATCTATTTTAATGAAACAAAAATCTAATAACTGATCAAAAATCAAAGGAAGTCAATATGAAGACTAATACTTGAATGAAAACTTTAACAACCATATCTAACTAACGAAATATGATCAAATTTGGATTGGATTTTTTATTTTATCCAAATAGTGCACCCCTTTAGATATTATTATTAAACACATGCAGAACCTGAGAAACCACACTAACTACTATAAAAAGGAGTTGTGCAATCCCATTTGGATGGGAAAAGCCGCAAAAGCGCTAGCAGCCCAAATTGAAAATCTTATTAGTCAAAAGGTCAAAGCAGTTATTGCTTATGAAAATCTTATTAGACAAATCAATGTACGAAGTATATTAATGTTCAAATTAAAGTATAATTTGAAGAATTTGAGCTCGACTTGAAAATATAACATCAATGCCCGACTCTCGACAGCATTGTCATCTTCTCTCTCAATGATTAATAAATGGCACCAACATCCAACTCTCGACATCCTAATAGTTAAGCACAAATTCTAATTAAATGACTGATTATTTTTAAATTATACTTATTCAATTTTTATATACTATTTTTAAAATATAAAAATTATAATACCGTGTCCAACTCGTGTCCGTGTCCTATATTTTCAATATTTGACGTGTCCTGTGTCCGTGTTGTGTCATATCCGTGTTGCCGTGTCCGTGTTTGTGCATCATAGCTTGAAATTAGATTTTATTTTGAAAATATGAGTTTTTGCGATTAATAATTATTTAAGATTTGCTAAATAAATATTTTAATGAAGATATATACATCTTCATAAAAAAATCATGTTAATTGTTTTAAATATGATGGAACAACTTTCAAAATTTTTTTAATATGTCTATCCAAAACAAATTTATTAAATTTTTGCTAAAAAAATATGTAACAATGAAAGAAGAAATATTCTAAAAGTAATAATTCTTTAATTCTTTTACTCTACGATTTAACGAGAACTATGAAAATGCTTTCACATGTTCCTAAAATCTATCATGCTATTGTTTTTCTTTTAATAATATAATATAAGTTGGAATTAAGCATCTCAACCAACTTACCTGTTCAAGCCACCACTATGTAGTTGCCATAATACGCTAGTAGCATACACGTTCAAACTACCTGCACGATGCTAGTTTGTTGGAGAAACCCACATCTTCAACAACCACCCTACATTCTCCGCTTCCTTTCTCAGTGCTAATTTCTCATTGAGAACAAGAGAAAAGGGAGGGTCTTTTAAGTTCATATAGAGAAATCCAAAGTTTATAGAGGGGGATCTCTTTTTTGGAAGTTCTGTCTAGCTCTCTCAACTCTTCTCAAGCAATGCAACGCCCCCCTCCTCCCTTCAACCTCATGAACTATCGCTGCCCCTCTTCAGCTCGTCTCCAATTGTCACCCACCGAAACCAGTAAACCAAATGATCAGCCCTACACCAAACTACAAGTGAAGGAAAAAAAAAGGAGATGACCCATATTATATTTAAATTTGGGAACAAAATCATAACAACAACAATATTACTTTGTCGATTAAATGAAGGAAAAGAAAAAGAAAAGAAATACCGACTCAGTTAATCAAAGTTATTGGTCAAAGATCCAAATCTAAGCACACTAGCTTCTCATCAATCCAAGGGCCCTAGTAAGATATTATGAAACGGCTTGCTTTGCACAAAATGCAAGGTAATAAGACTTGTAATTTAAAATCATCCTAGATTTGGGGCAAGAAACACTTGCACGAGTTACTTAAGACGTAGGTCAATTAGTTATAACTATCAAATACCTATTAACAAATTAAAGTTATTTCCACTAAAGCATATAATGACTATGTAAAGCAAGTCATTCAAAACTATCGGAGAACTAAATAGAGCAATAAGCCTCGTCCCAAATAAATCATAGGGCGTTCCAATGGCTGTAAGTCCGGCCTTAGTCAAATCTATCAGGAAGTCTAGCATAGAAGGCTAGGTTGTAAGACCCACAATACGGGGAGCTCACAAATAGAGCAATAAGTCCAAACTTAATTAAATTAAGGCCTTCTAATGGATGTAAGCCCTAACCAAGTCAACTTTTGGCATTCTAATGGATGTAAAACCTATCCAAATTAAATCACTGTTCAAAGCGTAAATCACATTCAGGATAGCTTATATGCTAACAAGCCTACTAAATCAATTAAACTCTAAAATTATAACAATCTAAAATTTACACTCAATCTCTTTGGTCCACTTGGGATACCTGAGAGAAGGCAATCCATGGATGCTAACCATATTCTGGATGTTATGATTTATAGGACGTTAACGTTGGTAGACTGAGAATCAATAGTATTGTTGGGATGACGTAATCATGGGATCTTGATCGGGTCTACCTTCATCCCCCATATACATATTTAATTAATCGAAATAAATCTCAGAGTACTAAACTTAAGTTCAAAATCATACCAAAGTAACCCATCCTTAATCGAGAATGCTCTCATACAAGTGGGAGGGGTAATTAACTATGTGGGCTTGCGCTCATGGGAAGTTGAGAGCCCAAATATAAATAAACCCTGATATGAACATTGGGGGAAAACTGGTTAATTAAAAATTAATCTACCTCATGAAGAATAAAACCCTAACCCACAAGCGGGGCTTGTGCCTAATTTTTTTGTGAACGAACACTTGGTACCAATGGTTACACATGAAAGCTCTTTTTGCTTCTTTTTCATCTCTCAACCCTTGAGGACAATGTTATTTTTCATGACGATGGGAGTATTAAGCAACAATGTGTTCTTTTGGATTCGAAGATAGTACAACAATAATGTCAATAATGGGTGAACCATTTAGAAAATCAGCATTGAGATAATAAAATATTTTATGTCTATCATAAAAGAAGAAGGAAGCAAATCTTTTAAAGATTGGAAGCACTAAAACAACCGGCGATTACAACAACTCCTGGATCAATTTATTTCAGCATTAAACCAACCTCCATTTTTAGTTCTTTTATTTTACTTGGTATTAAACTAGTTGGTATGAACTTCTATTAAATTCAAAACTGGTTCGTAAACCTCTATAAATAGACACCATATGTTATAATTGAATTCAAGAAATAAGATTTATGTTTTCCTTTACTAATCTCTCTTGTTCCTCTTCTTCTTCCTTAAGGAGTCCATACCTACTCAAAAGGTGTCTTCCCCTTTTTGATATAGATCAAGAAGCATATCAAATAACTTTAATTCTAGTTGATTTTTCTAACCCTCCTAGTTTAGCATGGTTAAACCCCTAGATTGGCTTAGCATAGGTAATCCCTAAGTTTAGTTTGCCTTACTGAGTCTGACCCAAATGGACCAAATTAGGTATGTAGAGCAGCGTGGAGAACTTGCTTTATGGCTTCCCTTCACCCCATGAGCTCCTTAATTTTCCTCGATGTTTATGTGGTTTTTATTTTAATTTTGGTTTTTATTTTTTGGGGGTTTTTTCTTTTATGGTTTGGAATTAAGCATTTAGAGTGCAATTACCTGAGATTATGGGTGTAGAAACAACTTTCCCAATCTGCATTTTTCCGTTCTTGCTTACACGTTTGAACTAATATTTTCTTGCCTTTGGTATTTCAATGTACTAAATTTACTGGGGTGATGGCTATTTTGTTGTTGGGAAAAAAATGTTTTTGAGCTATAAATCATTTTCTTTGTTAACTTTTAGAATGTTAATTGTCAGTTGTTTTGTTTGATAGCAAAGGTGTAAAGACATACGCATGGAATGATTCAAGCTAAGTTACTAATTTTGCTTCATATTCAGCTGCACCTACTGCATGAGGGCTATCAGTTCCTGGATCATTTGAATATTTTGCCAATGGTTCCCACTAATAATGTTCTGTAGGTTGTGTTTCATGATCATGAGCAAAATTTCTTTAACTGCGATAAATGGTAGTCATCTCTTATGGTTATTTGTTAATTATGGCTTCACAAGGAATAAATTTCCATTTTGCTTGTGAACGAATTAATTTAGCTTTTGTGATTTTGTGGTTCGTGCAGTGGACTATCCAATATTAGGGATGTTTCTTGTTAAGGTTTTTCTTTTCTGTTGTTGCAGAAGTAATGATGTCTAGAACTGTACCTTTCTTAAGATGCAGGATTTTGATGGTATTTTCCCTTATTTGGTGTTTATACTTCGTTTTGAGATTTCATCAGATTGAGGAAAAGATGCGGTTGCTTCATGATAGAAACAGCAAAAAGCTGCAACGCCTGGATGAAAGTGGTGCGGAAGCTCATAAGATTGATGCAACTCAAAAACTATTAAGGAAGTTGTCAACACAGATAATGATAGCAATCCAGATTGTTAACTCTATATCAACAAAGATTAATGTGTTGAGAGATGAAGAGCTATGGCCACAGATATATGAACTCATCCAGGGGTAGGCCACTATTGATTTTGAGCACATTTTATGCGTAATTTCTTAATCCAAATCGCATTATTTATACAATAAAGATAATTATTGTGTTATTTTCTGAACTTATTTTATTCAAAATTGTCATGTTCAGCAATTTATTTCAAGCTCTTTTGAGATGGATTTTGATTTGTTTGAACTCTTTAACTTTGCAGCCTTTTTAATCCAGAATATTTTTTTTCCTTCATGTTTTTTATGCTTATTATTTCCCATTTCTTCCAACCATGTTATAATTTCTCTTTCCTGAAACTGCATTTTATTTCAGAATTTAAGTTTGAATTTTGATACCATTGTATTGCGCATCTTAGCCAGAGTAAGCATGTCAATTTAGCAATACACTGACATGTTTTACATTTTTGTCATTATCTTTGTTATAATCATCATCAATTTAATTATTATCCCATCTGTTTTTGTCAAATTCATAAGGGGCCAGGTTTACTTATTAGCCTGGCTCTTTATGAAGTAATGATAGTTTACCTGCTGTTAACAAAAGCCTAAGAGGGCTAGCATTGATGGGTTAACTGTAGGCCTATAAGTTCGTGAACTCAACCATCTCAAAGCATTGATGCGCCCTTATGAATTAACAGGTGCTTAATAGGGTTTCCGCTAATGTGTTTCTACAAGCTCGTTTAAGCTCCAAAACATTAATTTATTCATTGATGGCTGTCATCATCACCTCATGATATTAGTCATTGGACATTGTTGATTTGAATTCACATACTTTGCTACAGTCAACACCCGCAAGCCTCTAACAACCTTCTTTTGAACTCTAGCTAGCATTAGATGAGATTTGTTGGCTAATGGCTAGCAATAACTATCGCAGATCTAGGTCCATTGATCATCGATGGAGCTTTGTTGATTAATGTTCATCATTCAAAAGCTATTAGTGTAAGTCATCGCCTAGGCTTTTACTGTTTCTCACTAGGATCTAATCATTATTTGTGGAGGATTTAGCGACCATGGACATGCTTTGGTGGCTATTGGCGATTAACCTCTAAGCTGGTTGTTGTGACGAATGCTACTATCCCACACTATGGTACAATGATTAAAAATGTTCTTATTATACTGGAATAGACTTAAGGGGAAAACCTTATGAAGTGCTTAATATGCCAGGCTAGCTCATCCTACTTATATCTTCTAATGCTTTTGTGTTATACCTTGAAATCTCAATTATTAAGATATTGTCCACTTTGATCTAATGGCTTCATGATTTAGTTCCCTTAGTATAACTTCTTAAAGGTGTCGCATGTCTTATGATCTCTCCTGCACGAGTATGCTTAACTTTTGAGTTTCTAATGAAATTATGATGTTTACATCAAAATACTTCTTGATTTTTAAGAGTTTTGCTTCATTCTAATTAAGGGATTTCATAATTTCCCCCATTTGATAAACTGACGTTTTTCTCAATACCCTTACATATAACCCATAATCATATGTATAGCAGATAGGATTCTAGAGGTGGCTCTCCCCATAGTACTTTATCCCAATAAGGATCTATAGTTTTCTCCCATGGTGTGGCGCTTTATGTTGTGCAACACTTAATTCCTATCTTCTATCTGGTGTATTGTTATGGTATCATTTGTAACTGCTCAAACTTTGCCATTAAGATATTGAAAGCTTTGGTTTAATGACCACATGATTATATTCCCTTTACAAAGGGTATCATTTATAACCCTTTCTAGGGAAGTTACAAAAAGTGTTTAAGAAGTTGCTCCCATGTCATAACACAGTTCTTATCTTCTATGTGGTGTATTGCTATGATATCATTTGTACCTGCTTAAACTCTTAAGCATTAAGAAATTATAAGCTTTGGTGTAACGGTCTCATAAGCTTTGGTGCCGAATGTTGGCCATTAAAAGAGAATCATAATACTAAGTTAAGTGTTGTAGAGATGAGAATGCCTAGGTGGATGAGTGGCTTTACCCTTAGAGATAGGATGCAAAATGAGCATATACATGATAAGGTTGGAGTAGCTCCAGTGGAAGATAAGATTAGAGAGAGTCTCCTAGATGGTTTGGTCATATTAAAAGGAGGCCTTCCGATGATCCGGTTAGGAAAGTTGAGGTATTAGATTTGACTTATGTTAAGAAAGGTAGAGGTAGACCTAAAAAATCTGGTTAGAAAATATTAGAAATGATCTTTCTTTATTAGATTTAAATGAGAATTTGACTTTTAACATGATACAATGACAAAAAAGGATTCATGTAGCTGACCCCACGTAGTGAGATAAAGGCTTGTTGTTGTTGTTGTTGGTGGTGTAACGGTCTCATAATTTTGTCCCTTTTGTGTGTGCTTCCTATTGTAGAAGTACTTTTGAATGAACACACTTAACTTTAAGTTTATAACTGTGGTGGCTGCATGCTTTGGATTATATATATTTGTCAGTATATTGTTTATGCATAATTATAATCTAACTTGGGATATCTTGTGTTTGTAGCTTTTGAGTGTTGGGCTATCTTATGTGACATACTGGTATTTTTCTTCTGCTGCTAATTAACCTTATGATGAATAAGGTTCCGCACCCAATCTTTGACAATTGTGACTCTTCGATGCTGAGTTACCATTTTTATGGAATTTATGAGGGTTATATTTTTAGTTGACGCCTAAGTGATAGTGATGTATGCCAGATGTTTGTAATTTAAATATAAGTGCTTAATCTTATTATTTTGGTGCACTTTTTTGTCAACTAGATTTAGTTTATGGTTTTAGAGTAAGCATTAGGTGGGAGCAATGGTTGAAACCATGCATCGGATTTGTTCTAATGAACATTTTGTTACTCTAAGCTTGACTTGACTGTTAAAAAGATTAGTGCTCTTAAAAATAAGAGGCACCTTCTTCTTCGTGAAATAAACAATCTCAATGTCGCAATAAAAGATGGAGACAGAGGAATGGTTTTTCCTATTATATATATATAGCAATGACACAAATGGGAATGGAAAATAAGAGCATTCAAGAAAATAACAAGATGTGAGAAGTTGTTTGAGGATGTTTGCCTACATTCACGACCGCAAAAAGATATTTTCATTGATATCAAAGATGAGTTTAAGAATGCTAGAATTATATTTATTGATTTCTAGTTCAAGTCACCGCCTTATTGTCCAAAATTGATGATCTTGACGTTGCTATCCTCTCGCCGAGAACTTGCAGGTCTTCCTGAAAAATGAAAACTGGTTCGGCGATTTTCTTCTGTGCCACAAAAAGATATGTTCATTACAATACAAAAATTGCAATTATTGATTTCCAGTTCAAGTCACCACCTTGTCAGCCATTTTCAATGATCTCGACACTGCTAGTTATTGCTTGTGAATGAGCTTGCAGGTCTTCCTCTTCCTCTCAGTTATTAGATTAAAAGCCTGCCACCGTGGAAAAATGACAAGTGGCTTGACCTTCAATCCGTTATTGTCTTTTGTCATGGGAATGTAGTTGTCAGCCACATGGAAGATTGATCGCCAATTTTCAGTTTGCAAATCACCTCTCAACAGAATTCTTGTTGCTGACCTCTTCTCGTTAAGGTTATAGGTTTAGATGTAGTGAACTCTCTCCACCAAGGCTTACCACAGACTCTCCTTAGTTGGCCTCAGCTTGTCAATATTAGAACTGATCTCCGTTATGAACTTCCTTCAAGTCATCGTTAATTTTCTCCTTTAATTGACAGCAGCTATTGGTTTTGATGAGGTCATCGATCAACGGTTCAGACACGTG